TTTAGCATGATATAAACTTTTATTTTTATAAAGTTATAAGAGAATACCATATGAAAAAATATATTTCTCTTTTTTAATGTTAACTGGTTTCATTAACTTTTTTTTAATCTGAAAAATTGTAGCAACATTTTTCTGCAAATAAATTACAAGAAATAAATAGTGTAAACATATTTTTCGAAATTTTGTTGAAAATATTATGAACTGGTATAATTAGTATTTTGATAATAATTAATTTGAGATGTGTAAAACATCTGATTAATTAATTTGAGATGTCAAATATAACTCGTTCAAAGGTAGAAGCTCTTCAAAGATTGCTGAGAATTCCGTCATAACGGAAATATCAGTCATTCAGCGATCCTAATTGTTACGACCATGTAATTAACGGAATTACACACATAATTGCGGTGCTTTTCTCGTGCGTCTGGATTCAATGCATATGGCACGCGAAAATGACAAAAGGTCGAAGCGTGAAGAATCGCGGAGTTCTTCAAATACATTTCACTAACGCATCTCTGAATGAATAATCAATTATTATTATACGCAAAGTATCTATTTTTTATAGAAAATATATTACCCTAATATAAAAAGTAGCAAAACAAAATTAATTATTTAATAATTAAGCGAGAAGGAGGATTAAATTTTTAATGAAAGTAATCTTTTTTAATTATAATTTGTGCAAGATTGGATTATATATGTTCGAGACTTTTTAGCTCGACACTTTTAATTACTATAATATTAATATTATTGTCTTTAACATTTAATTTACTACAACGATTTTTTAATATAACAAGGTAAAATGAAGATAAGAAATAACCGCAGTAACATTATTTTACGTGTTGCGTTTAATCATATAAGCATCAAATGGCGCTCATAATTATACAGCTTGGTCAAGGATTACGCATCTAAGCATGAAATATTTGTTGGTGTACCATAATATCGTCTCGACGTAGCATCACAACATTTTTTTACGCATATAAAGTTGTTTATCTCTCGGCTTTATCCAGTTTACTTTTTCTTAAAATTTCTCACAGTCCTCTTTGCTCCTTCTCCTTTCTCTTTTCGTCTACCTCATCAACGTTGTGCACCGCGACCTATATACAAGTGCGCAACATAAATATTAACAGAATACCGCGCGAGTTAAGACCGCGTTTTGTACTCGACGTTTGCTTAAGCATTCTGTGCCGACAACCCTAGAAGTTCTAATTGACACTCGACCTGGGCTGATACTTAAGGGTCGCATGTCCGCAAACTCTGCGCTTATTACTGTCGTGCGCAATGCGTCTGTCAAAATTTGTCTTAGACAGATATCTTAACAATACGCTTGTTTTCATGCTTGTTTTCATATTTGTTTCCATGCTTGGAAAATTTTCGTCTAAGTTCTTCTCGGTAAGTTTGAGATTTCTTAAATGCGTGAATGCAAGACGGAGCTTTAATAAAAGATATGGTTTTTGAGAATCAACGACAAATGATATCTTAAATCTTGCATTTTTTTATTAAATTAAATTATCACATATCAGAACAATATTACTAAAAATATTAGTTTGACATTTCAGAATTATTATTATTAAAAAAAATGAGAAAGAGATGGAGAAAAAAGAGAGAGATAAAACTTTTCTTACTTGTATCGAAAAAATGTTGTATAAAATAAGATCGAATGATTATTTGATATATTCCATGCTTAAAAAATTTTCGTCTAAGTTCTTCTCGGCAAGTTTGATGTTTCTTAAATGCGTGAATGCAAGACGGAGCTTTAATAAGAGATATGGTTTTTAAGAATCAAGAATAAATGATATCAAGTCTTGCATTATTTTATTAAGTTAAATTATCACATATCAGAACAATATTACTATAAAAATATTAGTTTGACATTTCAGAATTATTATTATTTAAAAAAAAAATGAGAAAGAGATGGAGAGAAAGAGAGAGATAAAACTTTTGTTACTTGTATTGAAAAAATGTATAAAATAAGACTGAATGATTATTTGATATATTTCCAGCATTTATCGTTGAACTGTATCTTCAATTACAAAATAATCGTCCTCTCGCAATCTTGATTCAGGAAGCTCGATTGACGTTTCCCTCGAGGTATACCTATCTATGATGGATCCCGTTTCCGCTGCACTAGTATTACGGTGCATACCGGCGACCTTTACTTATATGAACTTTGACCGAGCAAATCTCAATACGTTCCAGTAGCATTCGGTCACACGTAAAGTTTTGTTTGTCAGCTCTCGAATATGGCATCCATCTCTCTCGTAGAGATTCGCGTGTGCGCGTCAATCTGTAAACTCTGTCATTGCTGATGCAATCGCAAATGTGAATATAGCTTAAGAGGGTCATCCGCACGTGGCTCGAGCAATATAATAGAGTCCAACTCGGATTTTGATGAGTTTCGAATTTGTATAATAAACTGAGAATCTACAAACTTTCTGAATGATAAAGTTACGCAAATTTTAGTCATGTTTTAGTTATGTTAAATCGAAATTATGAATAAAATTAATTAATTATGAATAAAATATATATAAATTTAATATGAATGAAACGTATCATTATATTTTATATTGATGCACAAATTTCATTACTTTTTCCTTCATTGTTTTTTTACATAATAACTTCGTGATAAATGTATAAACAAACGTAAATGGAAGGAAAAGCTAATAAATGTGTATATAAAACAGGATTTGCTTCCAATTAGTGTATTCATATACGCATGTATAATTTGTTACGTGTACATCTTACAACACTGTTTTAAACGCGCATCTATGCAGTGTGAATTATAATCGTTTGTAATAACCGGCGGATGCGCTCGATGAATGCGACGTGCATCGTGGGCGCTATATATATAGATATACATACACACACATATATATATATATATATATATATATATATATATATACAGATATACATTTACATATGTATATATTTCGTATGGAGTTATCGATTAATATCACTCTTTGAATACGCAGAAAGATAGGATCCGCGATTTGCACGAAATATTCAGACGTAGGCGGACTTCTCGAAATTTCAAATTAAGCGCAATCTAATAAAAATTCAGGCAACTGCTCCTCTCATCAAGGTATGGTCATACAGAAAATCGCGAATGTTTTATTGCGGATATCTGAGTATTCACGGCATGAATGCCTGCACGTTAAAATATATAGGATTGAAATCCGGCGAAAAACCAGACGATTTGAATATCTCTCCCTGTCCAACGATCTCCGAATTATATAATTGAAAATTGGAAAATGCAGACGCGAGCGAATATGCATTTATTATTTACATTCTAAACGACGCTGACGAATGAGAAGTTTTTTGGCATTTTGATTTTATCTTTTTCGATTTAAATTTCGCTCAAGTATTTCTCGCAACGTCAAATTTCGTGTGATTAATGATTTTTATGCTGAGAGATATTAATGTTTATTCCGTATATATGAATAATAATTTAATTCTACATTTCTCCGTAGAACGCAAATGATTGGAATTAAATTATTTTGAGAAAAGAAATGCGTTGGCTTAAAAAATGATATAAATTTGAAATTAATAGCAAATAAATATGTGTACATTAAATACCTGTAAAACATACTAGTAATTAGACGCAATTCAATTTAACTTATACATGTTTCTCTATTTAATAAAAATCTTACAAACAGTTCTTTTGATGAATATTTTAGAAAAGTTAATTGTATACATAATATAATGACGTGATTTTTAAACTGTATAATATGATGTTACCTCGACGAAAACAACACGCGTGCGAGTTGAAAAATAGTATACATTCAGAATAATTTTCCATACCAATGACCCTTATCACTTCGGAGCAGTTTGCAAACAGTTCGACTGACCCGAGTCGAATCTTCCTCGTGGTGGTCTTCAAACAAGCCGCAAACTCTATTCTGTCCTTTTATCGGTGAGTCACAGCTGGAAAATATGAAAATAGTGTCACCAATATCTCGACGTATATATATATATATATATATATATATATATGTATAGACGAGGGTGCGACAGAATAGTACAGGGTCTAGTTCGTATTTCGAATTTCAAATACAAAAAAAAGAATGATAGATTTATATCTATAATATTATTTCAGAAATATTTTCAATTTTGATTACTAAAAGTTTACTTAAAAAGATTACTTAAAAAAAGATCCTTGAGGTGGATACCTTTCTCCAATGTTACAATAAACTGCGTTGACCGCGTTCAATATATATATATATATATATATATATATATATATTTAATGCTAAATTAATACCTAATCAAAACATCACATACCAATGCTCAAGCTCGTATATATATTTATATATACACAAGATATATAAAATATCTAATTATAATAATTACAAAAATCGTAAAAAGCACAAAGTACACAATTAATATAAAAAAGGAAATATTTTTTAATAATTATCATTTATACAATTGTAGTTTCTATTAATAAATATTTCTTTATACGATGCGAATAGAAGAATGTTAACGAAAAGAGTAAAGATAAGAATAAGATATATCACGAAACTTTTCTCTGAAATAATTTGAATATCTTACTTCTAGAAATATTTATTTCACTTTTATGAAACTTTTTTCCTGTGCAGACTTGTGGAAAAACGCTTTATAATTTAATTGCCAATATTTATTTAAAAGTGAAAGATATATAAATATACAAAGATAAATAAATTCTTTATTATACAATTGTCAATATTATTGACAGCTTGTATCTCTTTGACATATATAAGAGAACTCTTAAAATGTCGTTCTCAAACTTTTAGGAATTTCTGGCTTATGGTCCCCTTATCTTCCAACTGGTGTTTAAATCTATTCATCCGTTTCACGTGAAACGCGCTTCTCGTGACTATCGTCGTGAGATCTGGCGATGCGCGAAAACGAAAAATTCGCGGGACAGAGCGGGACAATGCCGGAGCCGGTGATATGCCTGTGTCCTACATCGCGCATGCGGCTGTAGTCGTGCGGGACGCCCGGATCTTCAGTGCGCTCGTCACTCGCGACGCGTCCGGGACGATTCTGTCTCGCTCCTCTCGATCGTCTCTGAGGACTTTCCCGGCTCTGTCTATCATTTTTTTCCTTTCTCATTTCCTCTTCTTTCTCTTTTCTTCTTTCTCGTCAACGCGCTGCACGACGTGACGAGCGAGCGTGATTTTCAAATTTGCCGACACGTTTCTCGCGAATCTCGCGATATACGTATTCCGAATTTCGAGAAAAAAAAATATTTGGATCGCTAGAGGCATCGATTCTCCAAAAACAAAAACAAAAACAAAAAAATTTTACCCGAAGCGAATGACGCGACTAAATGCTCGGAGGGAATCAGAGGCAGCAAGTGATCGCGAGATCGACCGGTATCGACAGATTCGAGAGAAGCCGCACGAAAATACAATAGATTTTTCACAGTGATACGAGTGTTATCAAATCGTACGATTACATTGAGTGATTGAATAATCCCGCAGATTATTACAGAATGACATAGGTCATAGGTGAATGGGAGACACAGTGACACTTTGAGACTATGTGAGTAAAAACGTACGCGATGTCTGACTATATTGCGTATGTTGACTACTTGTCGTCCGGTTTGTTCTCTTCTCTGGATATTGTTTCTATGTATTCTACGATTTTAAATTTGAACACAAATTTTCAACAAATGCAACTTGAAATTGAACTTTTTTATTTAATCTACAAGTACAATTTTATCAATATTTATATATGACAAAGACATTGACAATTTTTGCAAATTTTCTCGTAAATATACACGATTCTAAATTTATTAATTATTAAGTTTCTCATATAGTTACATACTTAATAATTCTGTAACATAAAGTTTAAAAACTTTTGTATATTAATGTATAAATTTATTATTTTTATAGTAAGAAATTATTATATTTATTAATTTTATAAATTTTAATATTGTTATAGACTCTATAAGATAAAAATGATGAAATTAAAAATCACGTTGAAGAGTTAATATCTATATTTTTTAGCAATACTAAAGATATACAGTGGAAGAAAATTTGAATCTATATCGCGCATTTCCATGCTTCGCTCGTCAAAGTCTCTCTTTTTTGTATGTAAAAGGATTACTTTATACTCCTACACTTTCTGAATTTATCTCCTTGAAAACTCAAACGCGGTTTTATTGCGGTGACTGCAAGCTACTTGAAAACGGAGATAACTTCTGTTCTAGGTACATGATGAAATGTTTCGTGAATATCTTTCGCTTTTTAGTAACGCTAGAAATAACCGCTGTTAAAAGCAGCCGAACACAAGTCTCGAGAAATTGTTAAACATATGTGTATATATTTATGAAACATTCTTTAATTTTCTTTTTATTTTATAAAAGATGATCTCACAGTTTTATTAGACGCATTATATAGTTACACACACACACAACTATAACAGAAATATATATATATATTTTTTTTTATTTAACGTTATATTTCAAAAACTTTTATTATTAAATCCATAATTTTTATATAAATAAATCCGTAATGATTACAAAACAAAAATTATCTCGATTATGTTCAACATCGATATTTTACATTATTGTTTAATTATATTGTTATTAGTTTGCAATATTGTTTAAATTTACGTTTGAAAATTTTGATTGACAATTACGTTTAACAAATTTAATCTCTGCAATTTTGCTGAATCAGAAAATTAATGTCTTAAATTATTGTATATGGTAGATTTCATTTCTACCGCTTATAAACGTATCTTCTTGCAAAACATGAGAGCCCTAGTTTATCGCGCCAGTTGTGAAATAAGTAACTAGGGGTAGACGAAATTACTATCATAAAATAACACGATGATATATATTCTGAATTTCTTTCGTTATTCTTCATTATCTCTCTTGGAATTGCAATTCATGCAAATCATGAACAGTTGCATATAATTCTGCCACGAATGGTAGAAATGCAGCAAAATATTAAAGTAACAAAATATTTTTTTTCAAAACTTGTCTTTTGAAATAACATTTATTTTTGAAAAAATTATAATCGTATATAGGTATAAAAAATTTTGGATGAACACGAATCAAATTATTTCACATTCGAATCTTATTAATTATAAATCGAAAAGTTTACGTAAAATTTTTCAATACGACCTTGTTAGCGAGCAAGAACTTGATTCGCAAAGATAAAGAAGCGAAAATATATTGCGCGTTTTGTGAGGTTTGCGCGAAACTTTTGAGGATCGCGCTGCCTGATAAATTCAGAGCATACCTAAAGTTTAATCCCAAACTTTACAAAACATCTTATACGTCTGCTCTGCAGAGCGAAGGATATCTCAGATTGGTGTTTGCGACCCGCGCACTCTTATCTCGAATCTATTTTCCTCTAGTTTCTGTAAAGTGGCTCGTTTTATTGAAAGTCGGTGCAAACAAACTCGTATAGTTTGAGTATTTAGAAGAACAAGTCTTTATGTTGGGAACAATAATTGTTTTCTAACCAGCGCAATAAAAACAAATAAAAGAAATCTTGCGCGAATGTCGAGAAATGATTAACGAGCGTGGGTGTAGGCGTGATTTCTCTCCGATTCGTCCGTTATTTGGATGTTGCGATATCTTGATGTCTATTTTGGGGCGGCCATCGTGAATATTGATGAATTTCAGCTAATTGCTACCATTTACTAGAGGAAATTCGAGCGAGAAAAATCATCCTTTGAAAGTGCAATCTAAACTTAAAAGAACATACAATAATGAGCGGCAAATATATCACATAATATATTAATAATTGCCTATCGATGTGTGATCACATATATGCATTCATTTAATTATTTAGAACCTACATCAATTTAATTATTCAGCGAATCAGACAGCAGAAAGATTTGGTATGAGTTACATCGCTATTTTATTATTATCTCATGACAAATGAGCAATTATCAACATACTAAATAAATTCCATTCACGATTTTATTGAATAGAGATTATTCGTTAATCAGTAGATATGTTTTCTGTTGTTCGAAGTAGAAAATGGAATTTATTCATCACAATTATTGAAGCTTTTCTATAGTTATGAGGGATGTCGATTTATATCACTGCCAGAAAATTCAACGTAAATCAGTGATCCGATATAACGATCATATTTATTACGATCTAGTGTGAAATATTAAAATCGAATTTGCAGCTGTTCACCGCAATTTGGGTCGAATAGATTTTTCCGCGGCTAATTTGCATTTTGATCCATTCTAACCATTTGCACGCATAATAAAACATTAAATTCCACGTAATACTGAATTTTTATCACGTTGATTATCTTTGTTATCGATCATCAATATAATTCTTAATTGCTAGATGTCGAGTTTTTACGAGCCCGGCCTGTTTCTATACTTTTGTTTGCGATGCTTTTAATATGCCTTTTATTTACATATTATATTACGAAAAGTAAAATATATTGTTGCAAACATTTTTAAAAAAGTATATTTGATCTACATTTTTTTTCAATCTCGACAAGGGATATAATAAGATAAATCTGAGATTAATTTTAAATAAAAATATTCACATTTTTATTAAAACTTGCAATATATGATATAAAAATTCAAAATATCGAGATAAAGAATAAGCGAAAATAATATATTATATATAGAATTTTGTTGTGATCATGCCAGTAATGTTTTTTGAAAATAATATATTTTTAATTGATGAGAGGCTCGTATAAATTAACGAAATTAAAAGAAATAAATATTGTAGGCCAACTAAACGAGCATACAGTATATTTTTATTCTCATATTTTATAAAATTAATTTAAAACAAAAACTTTTCGATATTATAAACAATTTTATCACGTAAAAGTTGTATATTTTTTGTCGCATAACTTTCTATGAAGAATTAAAATCTATCCACTACTATAAAGCCTCATACATTCGACAAATTTAGAAACCGATATTACTACGTTCACCCAGCTTTATGAGAAGTTCGTTCCGCTAGCTTGCTTCTCTATTCATTCCGATCCCGGGGTTACATTCTCGGAATGATAAGCAGAGTCTGTCAATGGCCTTTTGAAGCCCACGCCTTCATCAACCCCCGTTTCCCGTTTCGCAAAAACATCATATCTGTTAATTTTCGTGAAGTTGCCGCGCTCGCGTGCCGTGCATCATCGTTGTTTTATTCGTCTTATATACTTGCTGGTAAAATTGTCGACGGGGTGCGATATATACGACGAACGAGTGCTTTCAGAATATTACGAGTTTCGCGTCAAACAATTTCTTTCAGTCTTATTGCGCGCCTTTACTATGCAACGGGAAAAAACGGGGATTTTGTACATACGCGCTTCTCACAATATATGTTGCAACGTTTCAAGAGCAGTGCATTTTCGTTTATGCATAAATTTTTATTTGATGTACGAAAATGTAGACAGAGAATATAGACAGATTTGGAGTTAAAAAATCAGTGGCTTTTCAAAATTTCAAAAATTTTATGACGGATTTTTCTTTGCGCTTAATTTTCTCTAATTATGTACATATTTCGAATGCGATGTTTTTACAATTATTTGTGAATAGCAAATGAAAGAGCAATCATAAATATTTTATGAAAAATTTAAAGTTAATACTTTTTATTGGATGAAATAAAGACTCAATTAATAACATAGTTATATAATTAATATTAAATAATAATATATAATTTATAATAATAATATATATATAAGTTAATTTTGTGCGTGCATTTTATTTTAAATGTGTAATTCGAAATTTTATTGATAAGATCTAATGTTGAAATTTCTAAAATGGTAAATATATAATGGAATTTTTATTTAAATTTTTTTATTAAGAAGTATTCGATTTAACGCATCTTTGATTTTGTTAATTTTGCAAGTATATATTGTATAATTTTCTCAATGAAACTCAATAAAGCCTTATAAAACCGCTCGCACATATTTTAATATCAAGGAAATATTACGATCGAATAATTTCTCGAGTTATTGTAATCCCTGTGTTATTATACTATATAGCGAGACAAATGCAGGATTATTTCCCATTTACGTATTCAGCGTGAATTATTGTCGCATTTGACTAATGCACTTCTGTGAATATATCACGTTGCAGAACAAATATTTTCCCACAGTGCGCAATTTCCTTCATTTGATAGACAGATGAAAGAGCATGTGCGTGCGAGGCGGAAGGACTGGGATTGCACATGCAGAGCAGGATCACGAGTAAACGTCAGACGGACATTATGAGAACGAGAAGGAAAGAGAATGATGATATTAAAATAGCCGGTGGAAATTGACAATTACGACGGTTATATTTTTAAAGTCAATTATTGTTGCAAATTTTTAGAAAATTTATTTCCTTTAATTTATTACAATTACACTTTTTCGCATACCTATTTCTTAAAGTCTGAAAACGAAGAGTTTTGAAAATTATAAAAATTTTGTGCATTTATCAAAGAAACTGTTTTGCTGCATTATATAAATTTTAAATTTTAAATTATGTTTGCTTCAGTTATATTGTTCTTGCTCGCATAATAATATTGAAAAATATCGACTTGTTTCTCTTTCCATCCTGCTAAGAACACGAAT